TTCTATGAAGCCACAATTAGCTATAGGGAGGATTTGGATCTTCCTGATTTAGTGTAATAAGGTTTACTTGTTAATTAACCAAATAATTTGCTTTATTGAATTTTTAATAAAATGGATCAGAGATGTGACATGCGCATGAAAAAAAATGCAAGGCGCGCATGATTTTTTTTTTCAAATCATGCAATGTTCCATATTCAAAAAAAAAGAGAATTTTAATTTTTACCAAGTTATTATCAATTATATTATTGATAGTATTTTTAAGGAATGACAAATCAAAAATTTGGCCTCATTTGTTAAACTGGGTAGGGTGATAATTCATCAGCTTTGCTTCTAAAGGAATTGGTTTACTTTTTCTTTTATAAATGATAAAAAGAGAAATAAACTATTGACACCCGAATGTGTTTTAAATTGGTGTATATTTATTTTAATTACAAATTAAAATGTCCAAAAATACCACAATAATGATATGGATATTACAATTGATGGTGATGGAAATGAGGGAAGCAAAAATGATAAAAGTGATGATGATGACGAAACAATTAGAATAGAAAGTGGTGAAGAAGAAGGCAATGGTAATGATAATAATATTGAAAATTTTTAGATATTTATATTTATATATATATATATATATAGTTTTTTTTTTAAAAAAATGCAACGCATAAATTTTGAAATTTTATGCAATTTTCCATCTCTATTATGGATTAACTATAAAAAAATTATATGGTTACTATTAATAGGAAATTTTGTATGAAAAGATCCTAGTTAGTTCTGAAACTAGAAGTTTTATTCTATTTATTCTTCCCATGGTTATTAGAAAGAAAAAAAAGGTTCTAATAAAATAACTTTATATGTGACAATTAAGCTTAAAATTATACTTAAAACGAAAAAATGAACAAATAGCTTCTTATATCTTGTAAATTTTACAGTGATTCCAAGTGATCCTTGGAGAATATATGAGACATATGAACATTATGCTACATAAAGGCTTCAGTGTTCAAGATATTTTAATTATCCAATAGAATCTATATAAAGTAAAGTTCAATCAGCCTTTCCGTTCGGGCTTGTATCAATAAATATGCCTTACCTAATTTGCTTTTATCTAAATTAGAAACGGACCATGTTGTGAAAAGCAATTTTGAGTTAATACCATTGCTGTATGTAGAACATTTTTGGCTTAGAAACCACACCCACTTTGCATAGTAAAGTACGAGATATTTTTCTTTAAAGTTTCAAAACTGATAGTAAACCCTTAAAATGCGGATTTTTTTTTTTTTTCAAAACAACATTTTCACAACATGGTCCGTTTCTATTGAGATTGAGATATCAATGGATGACAGTTAAAGGAAAAATCATTGAATTTGTATATAATATTATAATCATCTATTTAATGGGTAAAAGGAATAACTTGGTTACAATTATAAATACACATAATATTAATTGATCGTCTTTTCATTGAATTTGTATATTGCGAACGTGCAATTCGAGTTTCTGACCCTTTTGAGGCTTCTCTATGTTCGCTGACAGCTAACCTGGTTATCCTCTGATAACTGCTTTACCAGGTATCCCCTGATAGCTTCTTTTACTGGATAATTATTGTTGTTTTTAATGATTTGTTATGCAGACATAAAAAAAGATATTACTGTTAACATAGTAAACTCGTGCAACTTTGAGGCTTAATTCCTCCATGGTATGAAATCATAACTTTGTAGAAAAGGTCTTAGTATTAGCTTCAAAACTACGAATAGTTTTTTGGTTTTACGTTTCCATTTTTGGAGGAATTAAAGGAACCAATAAAAAGTTCTGCACCATAATAAATAGTACAAGAAATGAATAATTTTTTATTTAAAATTCTTATCGAAAAAAATACATATAAAATTTAATAAATAAATAATGTCATTAATAGATTAAATCAATTTTTTTGTTTCTTCCGCGAAGAACCTTCCTCTATACCATCATTTGATCCATACTTTTTTTCCATGATTTTGCTAATTTTTTGCCAATCTCTGTCTAATTTTTGCTTTTCTGTCAACTCCTTCCCACTTCTACGAGTTTTACGACCATCTCCTGTCTTAACTCCAAATTGAAATGCTGATTTAGGCATTGCTGTCACATTGTCCTGTTTAAAAAACGAAATAATTTTTCCGTTCATTAACATCAAATTTACCAAATAATAAAATTGGCCCAAAAACACTTACCTTGTAGGCTTGCCACTCTTCTTCCGTGTCAAAGTCCCATCTCGAAAGTTGGGCTTTTTTATTCTTGGTAACTCCTTGATCTCTAATTGTATGTTCAATTCCTGTACCATCAGAATCAGAATCCGAGTGACCAGAGTCATATGCACTTTCTCTTGCGCCACCTAGACTACTTATCCCAAGTCCGTATGTTGAATAATCTCCATCATAACTATCTTGACCAAAAAATTTCTTTTTGATAATTTCGCTCTTAGATGGTTTATTTTCAGTAATTATTTCATTCTTCAATAAGTTATTATTATCATTGTTTTGAATTACAGATGTTGCGTTATCTATCAAAGACTTGAGGTTTTGTACCTCTTCTTTTTGATCGATTTCCATCAAATCCTGTTCTTTATCAAAATAATCATTTTTAATGTTTTCACTAAATGATGACGGTGATTTAGGATAAGACAGGGTGTCCGCATCTTCTTTTTTGTTAATTGAACTATCTTCGTTATTAACTAGTACTTTATAGTCCCTTCCTGCATCTGCAAATATATCTTCTGAATCATCAATGGCTGCAAGCTTTACCATTTTTACTTCTACAGGTTGTTTTTCTTTTAATCTTTTTTTTATTTTTTTTGAATCTACTCCGTCATTATTTTCACCTTTTCTCACAATTGCCATAACTCGTGATATTTTCTCTATAACTAAATCATTTGTAGACTTATCTGCGCCACTAGCATCTCCCACATCTGCTTTGCTACGAATAATTGTAGTCGGTATTGCAAATGGATCACCATAATTCCCATTTTCATCTGCTAATTCAAAAACATAGGCCATCCTACCTGCTACAAATAGTTCATTGTATTTTGGTGGGATTTTTCTGCCTTCGACAATAACAGCATCATAAATATTTTGTGCTAATTTACTTTTTATTCTAGGAGTATCTTCAGATTCCTCTTGAATTTGTTGTAATAAGTTCATTTCGCTTTCCTCTTCTATTACTTCGTTTTCTCCCTTGTACATTTCATTTCTTAATTTGGTAAGCAATGCGTAATCTAGACCTTTAACTAAATGCGTATGTTCAGCATCTCCTCCAAGATATTTTGATTGTTCATATGCTAATTTTGCTTCTAATGTTTCATTATTATTGAGAGCCTCAAGAATTTGTTCTGTATCTTTATAATCTGGATTATCTCCTTTACGGCGTTCAGCTGCACGGTCTCGATATTTTTCATTGATTGTTTCGACGGAAATCTCTGGCTTTTTGAACCTACTGGTAAATTTAGTATAATAAATAGACGTGATTTAATATAGAGAATAAATCGATTGTGTTGTACGTTCATCAATTTCACAACAAAATTTTCATTTCTAACAAACCTTCTTTTTGTTTTCGAAGGTGGCGGTAATATTTCAGATTTAGCAAAAGAATTACTACTTGCTTTCCTAATATTTAAAAAAAGCAAGATCATTTTATTATGCTACTTTAAATTTTTTTTGAATCTTTGTCAAAAACTAACAAGCACTCTCTTACGGTGTTTGTGCTTGAATTGCTCTATATTTTGGTGTAGCTACTCCAAGAATTCCTTTTGCTGGTGTATCACTAGGTCTTGGTGTTTGTAAAAGTTTTCTAAAGTCGTCTTGTTTTAAACTACAAATTTAATCAATTAAAAATTAAAATGAATCTTTTATATAGTCATAAAAAAAACTATTTTTTACCCTTTTTGCTTTGTGTCTGACATTATCGAATAATGTTGTTGAAATTAAAAAAAAACCTTACACGTGGAACTACTGTACAGCATTGAATAAAATATGATCACGTGCCAAAGTTGCAAAAATGGTATTACAAAAAGGTAGTTTCTTTCAACAAAAAAATAATTTTAAAAAAAAACCCCATTTTATAAAGTAGTATTCCTGAAGCAAATTTTTGTCCAACAACGTATCAGATATATATATTTATATAGATATATATATATTTTTTGTTGTAACTTCTACATTAAAGAGATATGACGACTGATCAAAACTCTGAAGAATTGGCTAGAGTGTTGCTTTCAAAAGCAACTGAAAATCCCTGGCTGATTCCTTCAATAGTAAATCCCGCTCTTCAAGGAGAAATTTTACTTCACATACTTAAAAACTGGAGATCGTATAATTCAAAAGAAAAGCTAGCAATATTATTTCTAATTTTCTGCATAAAAAGAAGTACTGTAACAACATTAGAAAAAGATATATCAGATGTAATCAAATTTTATAAATATATACTTATATTTAAATAAATTAAAAAATAGATACTATTTACTAATGTTCTGAGAAAATTTTCCCTAAAAAGATAATTTTAGAAGGTTCTAATGATTTGGATGAATGGGTTCGTCTTGTATCAAAAATGATGATTGATTATCCTAAAACAGGCGTACTTGACCTGGCTGTCGAAAAATACCTTCCTGAAGACATACGAAATGGTTTAAAACAATTGATCGACAAAAGTAAATATTATTAAATGTTAAACATAAAACATACATCTCCGTGTATTTATATAATCTATATATATATTTAAAAAATTCATCATTTAACATTTTATTCTTAATCCGTCTATTCATTTGCTTTTATCCTGTGTGTATGCATATATATATATAGTAGGGAATAAAGAAATCAAATTTCATCCTGTGGAATATGCGTTCATGGACAGAAATGTCTGTGATTCATTTTCTATGATATCAAAAGATTCAGAATCTGAGACATTCAAGCCAACACCAGCACCAACACCGCCATCACCTTATTTTATTTTAAGACCGGATTATGAGATATCCAGAGAACAACGATTAAATGTATTAAATAATTTGCCAACTGTTCCGATGTCACCAGGATTAATTTCACCAATAAGCACTACAGGATTTTTTAATATGGATTCAAATCGCGCACACACATTACAAAATATCCCTCAGAATACAATGGTTAATCGACAAACACCGTCTCAACATCCCTCTTTAACACGAAGATTATCTCACCCATACCCAAGAACTAATCCTTCGCTCCCTGGTCCAATAAATACTTCCAGAGGTTTTTATTTTTTTGTTATTATTGTTATAAATATTTTTTAAAAAAGACAAACTTATTTTGTTCATGCATCACATACATATATATGCGTCAATTTTTAATATGTTGTCTTTCTCATTTAATTAGGATTTACTAACGGACCTTCGGGAGCAGAATCACCAACAGAAATCAAAATAACTCAAGGAAAGAAATATCAAAAAGAAACAAGGATTCAGATTCTAGATATAACAACTGGAAGCTCAATTATTAGAAATCAAGAAGAAACTAAACTTAAAACACAATTGGGTAAGCCATTTGCATAGATTACCTGAATTAAGTTTATAGTTGCGAATCAAATTTTATAATCGTATTGCTCGCCATATTTTTCTGCTGTCAAATAAAAGAAAATACAGAATGTATCTATTGACATTTTATAAAATTCCTTTCTGTTATATTATATCGATCAGAGGAGGTGCAATTGAAAGAACAACGTAAATTGGAGAGAGAGAAAAAACAAGAAGAAAAGCGCAAAGAAGAAGAAGAAAAAAGGCTATTAAAAGAAAAAGAAAAAGCTGATAAGATACGTCAAAAGGAGGAAGCTAGGTTAGCAAAAGAAAGAGAAAAACAAGAAAGAGCAACTGCAAAAGTCGAGGCAATGGTAGCAGCAGCAAGAACTGAGACGTCTTCTACCAGTACATCTACAGCTTCTGAAACAGCAAAACGGCAAGGTAATGGATTTTATTAACTTTCTTTATAAGGATTTTTTGTTAGGATTATAATATTTACTGTTTTTTATATAATATTAAATTTTTTCATTTTACGAAAAAGGTTCTTCTGGTTACCCTAAAAGGAAGAAGTTAAATGGTAAAGTGTTATTAATGTTAACGTTAATATTAATATTAATAGAATAAATATAATAGAATAGTTAGATTTTTTGTCTCCTTATGTGTGTATATATTGTATATAATAATTTAATTTATATTTAATTGGTTTATAAATAACCATTTTTATTTATTAACTAAATAAAATAGACGAAACAGAAGAAATGGGCATGGAAGAAATAATCACTGAAGGTGAAAATTCCCACAAAGATACACAAATAATGTTCAGCTCACCCAAATCACCATTATCACCGTCGGGTATATCTAATGACCCTCAAATAAAACAATCGCCGACCTCACCAATTAATGAAAATGTAGACGAAAAGGTGATGCAAGATATTTTAGAAGATAATAATAATTCACAAAATATTGATTTATCAAGTTTAAACATAAGATTACCACAAAGGATCATAGGTATTTTGATTAAAATCAAACATTGAAATTGTATAATGAATTTTTTTGGATCATCCTAATATTTATGTAAAAATATAGAAATATTGGATAGCAAAACTAAAGAAGAACGACAACAAACTATAGAACATATATATAAAGTATTGGAGAAAGCAAATATGCTTGATGAGCAAAACAGGGAGTTAATTATTTATTTCTTAGCTGATCTACATAATGAAGGTAAAAATTATTTTCTAATAATAATAATATATCAACAAAAAAAGATCAACTTACTGAAAATCATATATACATCGTTTATTAGTAAAAGGTCAATTAATAAATATTTCGGATGGAATTTCTGGTCCTGATGATGATACAAGGAGGTTGGATTTGAATGTAGAAAGGATTACTCGTTATGATGAAGGAAAAGAAATCCATGAAATATTTATTTTCGAGATGAATTTAGCTGATGGTACGTGGAGAAAACTTAAGAAAACAAAGACTAAATTAGTAAAAAATGTAAATTTATAAGGGAAAATATAATTTAGTACAAGGATAGTTTATATAGTTAGTTGATGTAATGGAAATTAAAAATTATCCACAAAATTCGTTTAGATTTTATTATTCTGGCAATATGAATATATATATTAAACACTTATTTCTTATATGTATCTATCATATTTTAATTCAAGATTTTTAAAAAAAAACGACACAATAAATTTTAATTTTTAAACAATGTGATTCAGCAAAAAAAAATCATGTATGTGAAATTCGGAAATGTCATCATCATCAATAATCACTCTGTAGAATGTGATAACGTCAAATTGACACAAATTTCAATTTGATATTTTTTTTGTGTTAATGTGATTTTTTTTTTTATTAAATTAGAAAATCATGTATAATTTGATTACATCACATATGATCAAACATTACAAATTTGATAAGCAAAAGAAACTTAGACTTGAAAAATCGCTTAAAACTTATTCATTAAGATTTATTGTGTCATATTTCCGTTAATGACAAATACTTCAAACTCTATCTCCAGAAGGAGAACAATATCATTGAGTAGCTTGCTTACATCACCTTTTGCCTTATCAGGTACTACTACTTCTTCTTCACTGTACCAACCATTACCACCTTTGCCAACAAATATGTCAAATCATCATTCTTCCACCACTTCTTCTTCATATTCCACTATTATGGCCTCACCATACACACGTGCCATGTCGAACTATCCATTAAATTCAACAGCAACTGCCTTTGCTTCTGGCTCTAGTACACGATCTGCTTATACTTATTCTCAGACTGCATCTTCAGACATAAATTCATATAAAGATATTCACAAAAATAAGCAATCTAAATCAATACCTGTAAAACCAAAACTTCCTAACTACTTGGTTGAGACAAGTTTTGCTGATTTGTATAATGAAGCTGAACCTGAGGCATTTGCTAATAACGATTCTGATAAACTTTCTTTTGAGGCTCTCGCTTTGCCTACAGCTTGGAATGTTGAAGATAAATGTAATCATTTGAACGTGGAAGAAAATAAACTTAAAGTAAATTATACAGGTAAGATACTCTAAAAAATAAACCTATTTGTATTGTCATATATTTTAAACTATAGACATAAATATCTTTTTTTTTGTTTTAAACAACAAAAGATTTCTGATTGAAGTTTTATTAAAATTTCATTAATCATTAATCTCTTCTATTTTGAGACTACTCCTTTTAAATTCAAAAATCATTTCATTGTTGTTATTATGAATATTATTATTACTGAATTTTTATTTCATTGTTCATTATATTACTATTATTTTATTTTCTTGCAGGCAGTGGTAAAAGTGATTCAGATGCCGCAGCAATAAGAGCAAATCATCCAATACCTCCCCAATGTGGATTATTTTATTTTGAAGTAGAAATTATAAACAAAGGAAAAGATGGGTGAGTGTAAAAATGATTCAAAATTGTACATTATTTTTATAATTTCGATAATTTTGTTCTTTAAATAAATAAATATAATATGATTATATATAAATTTTATTAGCTATATTGGCATTGGGTTCTGTACAAAATCTGTTGCTTTAAATAGATTGCCAGGTAAAAAAAAAAATAAACCCTTTATTATTATTATTATTATTATTATTATTATTATTATTATTATTATTATTATTATTATTATTATTATTATTATTA